TTAAAACGATTTCTTTGGGATTTTGCATATCTTAATTAACATTATGTTAGTTTATTTCTGGCACAACTGTATTATTCATAGAGCACTCACACTGAAAATAGTGGGGCATTATTTCTACCCATGTGTTGTAAATATTTGCCATATGAAAGGTTTTAAATAATTTTTTTCTTTGTATAAGAACCATTTTTAAGAAAATTATGTAAATCAGGGTTTACATTTGATCGACACAAACCGGACTTCAATTCTGTAGTGGTATTACTCTTAGTGTGGACCACCAGTGGGTCTAACTGGTGGAATGCTGGCAGACGGACTACAGATCCCATCGCGTGTTTGTTCTATCACTTCTTGCAAATAACACATGGCGTTGCTGGGCTTCTTATGGAAAAGAGTTTAACACGGATGAAGGTTATGCCATGTGCTGGCAGTAATTTGACATAAAAGAGGCGAGTTTTAAGAGTATATTTAAAAAATAAGTTAACAAGTACTCTATGTGAAGGATTTTATAATTGCATAGATGCAAATATAAGAGACCTTATTACACATTACATTTGCACATAGTCGCCGTGGAGAGATTTATAAAAACGGCAATGTTGCTAGTCACCATCAGTTGCAGATCGCTTACCAGCGAGGTACTCCTTCATGGGTACGACGGGAAGGGTATCAGTTGGTGCGAGGTCGGGATTGTATGTATTGCCGGTGGTCCAGAAACTCCCACTAGCGCGCCAACCAAGCCATCCACTCAACGTGTCCTTGAGCTCTTTTCGAGTACAATAGGCTTATTGTGTTTGCTTAGAATGCAAAGTATGCAGCACATTTACACAGTATACCAGACGCGTTCACTCAGTACCAATTTCAAATAATTTCCTCATGTGCTGAATACCTTAAGTATAAGGCTGGGTGACAAAGATCCAATTCCCTGCAGGGGCTGGGATTATGCTCTTCGCCACAGTGGCTGCCTCTGGTGCTCACCTAGCTTCATGTCCAGCTCTAAATATGTGCCGTTTCCCGGGGATAGATGCTGGACCACGAAGACCTATTCACCTCCACCTATTGCAGTGATTAAGAATTTGTGGAGCTTCACTTTCTTTCTGCATACGTCCTCATGGTTTGGGGCTTAGGCGCAGGGACACCTTCATGCCGATAAGTTACTTCTGCCCTTAATAACCTGACTCCCCATTTCTATCCCTGAAATAGAAATGACAGAATTCTACACGAAGTGCGACTGAAATGGTACATATGTAAGATTTGAGGTTTTCACAGCGGTGAGTATGAAGATTTCTGTCTTCTGGGTTGTTGCGCTGTGTAGTCTGGTCGATGTTTACCAACGTTTCAGAGGTCATACTGCCTCCATCATCAGGGCGAT